GACGTGTTGCTGGGACATGAGCATAAACACCCAGCTGGCGACCTGAGTAGACCAGATAAAGAAGAAGAAAGCGTTCCAGTGTCAGGACAGGCAGGTTTAAGCGAGTTATAAGAAGCTTGAACCTCCCCACTCGCTAGGGGTGTATAAGGCCAGCCCTTAATTGACAAGGGAGCCCAAGGGCGAGTAGTGGCGCCCTGTACTAAGGGGCTACCACAGGGTGGAAGGGGGTGAACCCTGACACTGTGCATGGGATTCAACCACTGCAAACTGCCTCAAACCCATCATCACCCACCAAAAATCTGCTATCAGAACAATATAAAACTCTGTTCTCATACAATACACAGTCCCTCTGTTTACATCCCTAAACATGCTAAACAAACTCACTTCACACATTCTTCACACAACCGATACGGCGAGCCGGCTGCACCCCACCATATTAAAATGCGAGCACCACACAAATCACCACATCTCAGATCATACATCACCCCAAAACCACACCACAATATTACCCTTCCACCTCCTATCCCAAGCCGCCTCCAAGTTTTCCTGCATCCTCGTCCCATCCTTTTTACCCTACTTACCAGCCCTTTCGACTCGGATGCTGTGACATGTAGATAATTTCACCCTAAAAACTGGTGGTTTTTCTTCAACTTTACCTCGACGCTAGACATTTTTTATTGATTTATGAGACGCCAGGAGGTTCACTGATTAATGGGGAAAATGTTCTATACTAAGAGACTTATTTAGGGATCATGGCAACAGTCAAATGGCTAGTAACAGAACAACCCAATGGCAAAAGGTTGTGGATGTAGTTCGTTTGTGACTAACTAAGGCAATGTTTAGGTGATAACGTGTCTAACATGAGCGAGTCTCGGTCTTTTGGCTAAGATCAAAGTGTAGTAATCAAGCATCAGGAGGTCAAAGGTTGCCCCGTTCAAGTCGTCTTTTAAGTGTGCTGAGTCCACTTAAACTTGCAAGTCATGTAGCGCTAGGGGCTTGCGCCACCCATACCGCCGGTCGGCCTGCAAGGTGCTTGATCCACCATTGCCGCCGATCGTCTCACCAAGGGACTTGCGCCACCTTTCCCTCGGGATGGGCCCAAACGCCTAGACCGACCGAGAAGAGCTCGCTACACCCATGACGCGGGTCGGCTCCCCAGGCCTGTTAACCACAAGAGTAGCTGGCAGAACTCTTGTTGAGGTCGTTTGACCTACCAGTGAATGCATGCACATGAAATGTGCATTACACACTTGCAATTGCAGTGCTCACAGACCAGCTCTAGACGATCTGCAACCCCCCTAATCATGGCCAAGATTTCATGTTGAGGGACTCGACGAGGCTAGTCCAGTCCTGATACGAGGGACTTCCACGCTCCTTCCAGGTAAGATTGACACCTACTGCAAAGATTCCGTTGCACCTGCTCGCCATCGCCCCTAACACACTGGCTTTTATTACTTGTTGAAATGGGCTGCCACCCAATATCAAACAGCAAGAAAGACGAAGAAGGAAAAAGATGATGAGGCAAGACTCCAGTAGCGATGGAAGGACCGACTTCCACAGCGCCAGGAGAATTGTTCAAGATTCTGACGACTTCTATGACGGAACACAGCGCTCTCTCATCGACTCCCTGTCGTCTACACCCCAGGACTAAGACCCTGTGCTCCAGCTCCAGGACCCACTTCTGGTTGATGGAGATTCAGCCATTGAGCTCACCTCGTGTTGAGGAAGAAGTTGAAGAAGAAGAGATCCAGTCATCGTATCTAGTTAATGAAGAGATTCAGCCAATGATGTCGCCTCGGGAGGAAGACGAAGTTGAAGTAGAGATCCAGTTATTGGGCTTGCCTTCCCCCAGCGTGTCCCCCAACCAGGCACCCTTGGCCAGCACACGGGGGAACTCATTCACAGAGGGAGGAACAACCAACTTTACTCCTGCTGAAGATGGAAACGGCCTAACAAGTGACAGTGGCAGCAGTAACCACCAAGAGGCAGCAGGGGACCCAATACCTCCACGACCCCAGTCGCCAAATTTAAAACGACAACCCCAGCGGAATGGTGATGTGCTCACCACCTGGTTCCCCCTGCCTCCCCACTTCAACTGTACAGAGACATTCTGCGGCAAACTATATACAGGAACGGTATGGACAAGCAAACAACAGTCACTCGCCCACCATCTACGTGAGGTCCATACCCTCCGATAAATAGGAAGGTTCAGAAGTGTGTAGGGTGCCTCAAAGTTTTAGGAACTCGCCCCAGAATGCACAAATGTCCAAGACTACGACGATTCCTTGCCAACAGACCTCAAGAAGTAGTTAGACACCGCTACCAGTGCCCCATATGAACCTCAAGGAAAGGAAAAAGGGGTTTATCAGGGGAAAGTGCCAAGCCATTACGACTATATAGCACTGGGAAGGGGTCAGGATAAGGATTTGGGATGGGCCGGGGGAAAAGGAATTGTGCCCAACCACTTGGACGGTCAGAGATTGAACGCCGACCTGCATGAAACGAAATCGTGGCTCTACCGTCCAGCCCAAGTGGTTGGACATGTGCACCTCAAGCTTCTCCACAAAAAAAAAAAGAGGACTATTCAACCATGCAAAAACCAATCGAGTGCAAGAAGCAGCAGCCCGCCAACAACCCAGACCTGACTCCGCACCCAGTCCTCACCAGTTAACAGTCTATCCAGTCCTCACCTGCCCCCTCCCCCTCTTTACTCCTACCCCAACCCGCACTCTACCCGGTCCTCACTTGCCCCCCTCTCCTCCTAACTCCCCACCCAACCCACAGTCTATCAGTCCATGCCCGCCTCCTCACCCCTAACGCCTCCTGCCCCAGCACCCAATCCCCTCTCCTCCCCCCCTCCTCTACCTCCACTCTCCCCTCTTAGCCCTCTTTCAAAGCCTGATGATAATACGCCTATGTCTCCAGCCTCCAGCACAGATCATCATGACCGATCTCAACCCCAAGATGACGATGACCACGGAGACGGCGCCGGTGATGAAGGGGAAGACCAAGAACAAGAAGAGAATACCCCTGATGAAGATGAAGGAGAATGGTTGCTGGAGGAGTTCTCAGGACCCCTACAGAATCTCCTTCACTACCCAGACTGGGGACGCCTTCACGGAGCTGCTGCAGCAGATAACAACAATGCAGGAGCATTTAAAGATACCAACTAATGGTAGATGGACTACATTAACTGCCATTGACGTAAACGACTGTGCAGCTATCCAACGGCTGTATAAAATAAATCGGAGGAGGGCAGTAAGATTCATCACAACAAGAGAAAGTGCTCGCTATGCCATCCCCAAAGAACTAGTTGAAGAGCACTTCACCCGTACGCTTGGCGTACATGACCCCCTCCGAAATCTCGACATAATCACTACCATCCCTGAACCACCTGAAGACCGCAGGGAAATGGACACAGGAGATCTCACGGAACAAAAAGTAGCAACGAGGCTCTCCAGGACAGAGAATACTGCTCCGGGAGATGACAGGCTCCCCTACAGCCACTGAAACGAGCAGACCCAGGATGCCGTATAATCACAGCCATCCTCAACATATGCTTGAGCCAACAAAGCATCCCAGAGGCTTGGAAGACTTCGGATGGCACTCATCCCCAAGGTAGGTGACCCAGATGACATCGCAAAATGGAGATCAATTGCACTCTGCCTCACCATATACAAGTTGTACACTGGTTGCCTCTCCTCCAGACTGCAAAACTGGATCGTCGACAACGAAGTGCTGTGCTCCGCCCAGAAGGGATTTACGCCAACTGATGGAGTCCTTGAACACAACTTCGCCCTGCAACACTATCTGGATGCAGCGAGGACAGGACATGGCCACAAAGACATCTACATTGCTTCACTCGACATCACAAAAGCCTTCGGTTCCATCCCCACTGAACTCATCTCCGCTGCACCTCCTCGGCGAATGGGAGCAAGAGATGACTTCCTGGCAGTTATCAACAGCATCACCAACAGCAACACTAAAAGAGTTATGACGATTAGTGGCGAGACGAACGAAATCCCAGCCAACTGCAGAGTCAGGCAAGGATACCCGATAAGTGGCCTTCTCTTCATGGCCTTCTCTTCAACATTGCCATCGAAGCTATCCTTAGGACTGCAATCAACGCTGGCCTTGAGGCTGAGGCTGACCCAGACTTGAAGCATCCCTGCCTAGCATACGCCGACGACATCACCATGCTTGCTGGGAATGAAGAGAGCTCTGCAAGCTCTACTCGGCACAGTTGGGAGAGCCGGCCAAACCGTGACACTCGCCCTTAACTCAGTCAAGTGCTACTCTATGCACATGTCGGCGGACGCCGGTAGGATTGAGAAAGAGACCCAGTTCCAGATTGGGGGAACCAACATCCATTATCGGCTTGGGGGAAACCACTCCAAGTTCCTAGGACGCCCCGTCGGCTTCCAACTAATGTCTAATGACTCCTAATGAAGAATACATCAAACTTGGGAGAAAGGTTCTTATGAGCAAGTTAACTCCATGGCAAAGACTCGATGTACTGAAGACATTGTCTTCTCCTCCACAGTCTTTGCAATGAGAACCTGGAAATTTAAGAAGACTGCATGGGCCAGGTTAGATGCTAAACTGTTAGATGTTAGATGCACATCAAGAAGACTCTATTTGCCATCTCGTGCAACCAACGAGTACCTCTATGGCAGCACACGAGTGGGATCCTGTGGGATCCCTCTAGCAGCAGAAGACTGACTTATTCCTCATCGACATGACATTTAAACTCCTAAACTCGCCCGATGTCGACACAGAGGAGATAGCGCGAGAAGACTGCTGCCTCGTAGTGGCTAAAAGAAGAAGAGAAGACAGAAGAAGTTACACCTGAACACATCTGTTCCTATCTCTCCAAAGATGAAGTGCCTGGAAGATCAGGCCAAATCCAAACTCTCTGGTCTCAGGCAAGGGATGCCTCTGGAAGGATGGAAACGACATGGACAGTGGATGGAGAAGGCGGCTCCATAGAATGCGGTGACATGACTCTGAAAGCTGCCGCAAAAAGAAAAGTTGCCAGGACCATCCGAAACCACAACAGACTTCTTACCGATGTCCGTCTACAAACCCTACGAGACCTAGGGAAAGTAATGAGTGTTGTCTCACAGGAAAAAGCTTCATCTCACTTCATGAGAGATGGAGAGTACACGACATTTGCTGACTGGTGCTTCATACACCGAGCAAGATTGAACTTGCTTCCTCTGAATGGAGCCAACCCACGACCAAATGCAAACAAGCCCTGCCTTCGATGTGCTTGGCAAAACGAAACATTGCCACATATCATGTGCCATTGCATAACATATTCTGATGCCTATAGAAGACGTCACAATGCACTAGTGGACAGTCAAGATAATTGCCTTAGGACGCCACTGGAAAGTAATATCAGAAAATCAGTGTGTCCCAAGAGCAGTGTCCTCAAACCCGACCTCGTCATCGAGAAGAACAACAAACTACTGATCATCGACGTCACCTGCTCCTTTGAGAGTATGGGGGATGCCTTCGCAGATGCACGGACCGAGAAGGAAACGAAGTACGCCGATCTTGCTGTGGAGATGAGGGCGTTGCCGCGGTACAACAGAGTGACCGTCCACGCCTTCATAGTTGGACTACTAGGATCGTACGACCCACTCAACGAGCAACTGATGAAGAGTGGCGTCGAAGAAGTACTTCGCAACCTTCAGAAAGCTGTGTGTGTGAGCGATGTGATAAGATGGTCGAGGATGCGGTACATCGAGCACATCACCGGAGCTCGACAATATGAATAATGTCTATTAGTATGTATGTAAAAATTTGCATTATATAAATGTTAGGCCAAAAATAATTCACACTTTGTAACTTTTAAAGATCCTTTGTAAACCTAAGCTTTGCCAAAAATGTTAAGCATAGCCCTGATGAAAGCATTGTAAAAACCCACGCTGTACCATTTTTTTATAAATAAAGGCATCTCAGGCATCTGCCCGGCTGTGCGCCTCGTGGCCCATTGTCATGGCAACCCGGCATACCAACCTATTTCCTGCTGTGCTTGATAATCCAAATGATCTCCAAACAATGGAACCAGAGTCCGTCTGTGAGGTATATATTGATTTTCGAAGTGTGTTGCAATCAAACAGTGTGACAGGATTAGATGGAAAATTGGAAAGAGTGGCAGCTACATCACAGTATGCTTCAAGAAATTCTAGACATGCAGAATTTGCTCATGGGTAGGAGATAATTGGTAATGATGAGGGGCAACACAGGAAACCGAGTGAAGAATGTGGAGGTGGGTGATGGTAGGACCACACAGCAAGGGGAACGGCCTCCTCTTGTCCCCGGAGCTGACTATGTGCGTCTGGTATTCCCGGCTGGAACAACAACCCAAGCTAAGTTGATATGGTTCAATCAACTTCCTAACAACTTCAACAGACCATATTGAATTCAGTCTGACCAAGAATAACTTCTGCCTACATATGTGTGTCACATAAGCAAGATGATGTCATCAGTCGGCTGGTTGAAGGAGAGATTGGTAATATAGTTTTTACCAGATATAATGTAATCAATCTCCCTAGAAAATTTAAGGAGTATCTTGTTGCCAGTTTTCGAAGAGAGTTTTCTATTCATAGAGCAGTTAATATTGAAGGGGGTGTACAAGGCATGACACATAAACGAGGATGGTGAACCACTCAAAAGGATCATCATTGTCTGGAAAGACAATGAACCTCCTTATCAACAACATTGCTTCCTTGGAAGTTTCATCCAAGTTATATTAGACCTTGGATGTCCTCTCCTGTTATCTGTTATAATTGTCATGGTACTAATCATGTGTAAGTACTGTTGACGTGAGTGTATGTGCAGGTTCTGTGCTGATCACCATGATACAAGGATGCGTCTTCACAAGGACCCCCTCCCCCTATATCTCAGGACAGTGAGGTAGCCTCTCCTCTGGTCAAAGTGTGTCCCCAGTGTTTACTTGAAGGCATACATGTTTGGTATCATGACTGCATACAATGTCCAGTCTTCCTTAACTTATGTAGAAAGCCAGTGGTGTTTGACCCAGCTGCACCAAGCACCAAGCAGGACGCTCCTGATATCACCTCCAGTAAGCAGTCTCCAAGTATCGTCCAACTGAAGCAGATAAAAATATACGAGTTGATTGGATAAAGATGAAAATTACTGAATTGTGTAAATAAAATAACCATTAAAGACAAATCTGCCCAATGGATGTGGAAAAGTGAGTCATGTTAGCAATAGTGGTAAAGTGAAGGCAGGATGCTAGATACTCCAGAATTGCCAGGACAGCATTGAGATGATATGGACAGCCTTCAGAGATGCAGTCTCTGCCCTTAAGGACCTAGAACCAGCAACCAGCAGAAACCATAACTGGTTCGAAGGAAAACAATGAGAACAGGTATTTATGTAAAAAAAATCACCTGTTCTGTGCACAATAGAATGACCCTACATCACAAGGGAAGATGCCTTTTTGGGGAAGATGTCTTTTTGAGGAATCTCGCTGCCGGCACCATTGCTAGCAGGCTACACACAGTTTTGTTCTCTGGAAAACTTAAGACTCTGAACACCCATCAGCTTAAATCATCCATTTTGTGAGGAAGAACACATCAATACTCCAAGACAGAGAATATCTTGTTTGGAAGGAAACATTACCGATTTCGTCTCCAGATAATGAAAAAACGTTGTTGATCAGTTGGTGTCCAGCTGGCTGGTATTGTGTACACCCCAGTACACAGGCGAGTAAAACTGTCGTACCGCACTTGTCGCCCAACTCTCCACGAGTTTTTTTTATTAATATTTTTTTGTGTGATGACTATCACTGACCAGGTCATTAAGAGTCCTACCCTGATGGGTGAGGTGGTACCTTGCAGGCAGTGCCACAAGGGGGCATCTTAGGTGAACCGAGCCTGACAGGGAAAAGTAGACCACACCGCTTAACAATGTGTTAGGTATCCCAGATTCCTCCAAGTACTACAACCAGCAAGACACCAGACATAATAGACGTAGAGAGGGCATACTGTTACACACCAGCCAGTGTCAGACTCGGCACAAGATCCAAAATTAAAGATACTGCAGACAGATGAATTTCTACAGCATATGGAGTTGTTATAGCAATGGAAATGGAGCAACCAGTGCTCAAACTTTCAATCACCGTAAACCTGAGAGGACAACTTATAATGTGCTTTTGGGATACCCAGTCGACTTTCCAATACTATAACACAAGCAAATCTTCAATGCGGAACGATGCCGCACAAAAACAGACCAAGCAGCAACACCTGTGCCAGAACACGATGGTTTGCAGCCAGCAGTCGTCTGGAGCGGACGTCTCTTGCAGTCGCTCCCCGTAAGGTCGTCGGCAGTTGGTCTAAAGTTCACATTCACCTGACGTGAATAATTTGAAACACAAGGAAGAAAATTTCAAATTATTGACAATCACGCTGGCATGAGGAGCGCTGCGCCAACACCATCACTGAGCCAGCCGGGCCGACACCCTCCACCTCTCCTCCACATTCCTACCAGTCTCTCGTCTTGGACGTGGTTATGAGCTGATGTGTTTGTGTTGTTCTTTGCTGCTACCGGAGTGTGGTTGACAGACGTACGTACGTGTGTGTGTGTGTGTGTGTGTGTGTGTGTGTGTGTGTGTGTGTGTGTGTGTGTGTGTGTGTGTGTGTGTGTGTGTGTGTGTGTGTGTGTGTGTGTCGTCCCTATCGGCCGGGGTGTTGACTGATGAACCTGTAGACACACGTTGGGGGTGGTATATGTCCCATTATGGCCTTCTACACACCTCCACTTAAGCAGAAGGAATCCGTAGGACTCAAATTCAGTTGTAACATTGATTATGACCTTGTCTGCACGACGATCTTCAATGTGCTACAGATAAAGATGGACGACATATTTGGTTTCCAACAACTGTCAGGAAACAGAGTGGTGGTGAAATTTGAAAACAATCTGGCGTTTTCCGAGTTTCTACAGAAGTATGATGCTGACATTATCAGTCTGCCTAATGGAATAGGATCGGTGCATTTACATATGTTTCTGTGAGGGATGCGCTCTTTGCATTGTCGAATGGAACTATTACTCACATACTGGAACAATATGGGAAAGTGGAAATGTTCGTTTCCACAAATATACCTATGGAGCAAGAAAGAGGTTTCAATGGTACAAGAACAGCGATTAAGGAATATTACAATGAAGTCCCATTTTCAGTGTCAGTAGCAGGTCAATATATTATAATTTATCTACAGTGGACAACTGAAAACTTATTGTAAGTGTTTGCGTACTGGTCACTTGGCTGCTGCCTTCCAGGTATAGAGGAAACAGAACGTATCAACATTTTTCGCGAACATGACTTTCAGCCATTACTGGAGGACAGTGTACCAGAACATGAGCCCACTGAGGTGCGATGCTGAAGATGGTGTTGACCCTGGTGAGATGACGATAGAACAAGTAATTAATTGTCAACTGGATGTAGAGGATGACTCCATGTGTGATAGTAACGAAGAAATATCTGTGCAGAGGGCAACTCCACCCTCTTCTGTAAGGTCTGGTTGAAAGGATATAGGTCATGTGAAAACTGGTTGTGTAACCAGTCATGTGAAGACACGTAGAAAAAATTAACCCAGACTATTGATCTGAAGTGTATGAAGGACTGTGCAGCTAAATTAAGTCAGAAAAAATTACCAGGCGGTTGGCGCTCAAGTTCACTGTGTCCAAGGTCAGGAGGAGTTACCAAAATGAGGGCACAGTACACCCGGTGAGTGGTGATCATGTTAGGGCACAGTACACCCGGTGAGTGGTGATCATGTTAGGGCACAGTACACCCGGTGAGTGGTGATCATGTTAGGGCACAGTACACCCGGTGAGTGGTGATCATGTTAGGGCACAGTACACCCGGTGAGTGGTGATCATGTTAGGGCACAGTACACCCGGTGAGTGGTGATCATGTTAGGGCACAGTACACCCAGTAAGTGGTGATCATGTTAGGGGTACACCCGGTGAGTGGTGATCATGTTAGGGCACTGTACACCCGGTGAGTGGTGATCATGTTAGGGCACAGTACACCCGGTGAGTGGTGATCATGTTAGGGCACAGTACACCCGGTGAGTGGTGATCATGTTAGGGCACAGTACACCCGGTGAGTGGTGATCATGTTAGGGCACAGTACACCCGGTGAGTGGTGATCATGTTAGGGCACAGTACACCCGGTGAGTGGTGATCATGTTAGGGCACAGTACACCCCGTGAGTGGTGATCATGTTAGGGCACAGTACACCCGGTGAGTGGTGATCATGTTAGGGCACAGTACACCCGGTGAGTGGTGATCATGTTAGGGCACAGTACACCCGGTGAGTGGTGATCATGTTAGGGCACAGTACACCCGGTGAGTGGTGATCATGTTAGGGCACAGTACACCCGGTGAGTGGTGATCATGTTAGGGCACAGTACACCCGGTGAGTGGTGATCATGTTAGGGCACAGTACACCCGGTGAGTGGTGATCATGTTAGGGCACAGTACACCCGGTGAGTGGTGATCATGTTAGGGCACAGTACACCCGGTGAGTGGTGATCATGTTAGGGCACAGTACACCCGGTGAGTGGTGATCATGTTAGGGCACAGTACACCCGGTGAGTGGTGATCATGTTAGGGCACAGTACACCCGGTGAGTGGTGATCATGTTAGGGCACAGTACACCCGGTGAGTGGTGATCATGTTAGGGCACAGTACACCCGGTGAGTGGTGATCATGTTAGGGCACAGTACACCCGGTGAGTGGTGATCATGTTAGGGCACAGTACACCCGGTGAGTGGTGATCATGTTAGGGCACAGTACACCCGGTGAGTGGTGATCATGTTAGGGCACAGTACACCCGGTGAGTGGTGATCATGTTAGGGCACAGTACACCCGGTGAGTGGTGATCATGTTAGGGCACAGTACACCCGGTGAGTGGTGATCATGTTAGGGCACAGTACACCCGGTGAGTGGTGATCATGTTAGGGTACAGTACACCCGGTGAGTGGTGATCATGTTAGGGCACAGTACACCCGGTGAGTGGTGATCATGTTAGGGCACAGTACACCCGGTGAGTGGTGATCATGTTAGGGCACAGTACACCCGGTGAGTGGTGATCATGTTAGGGCACAGTACACCCGGTGAGTGGTGATCATGTTAGGGCACAGTACACCCGGTGAGTGGTGATCATGTTAGGGCACAGTACACCCGGTGAGTGGTGATCATGTTAGGGCACAGTACACCCGGTGAGTGGTGATCATGTTAGGGCACAGTACACCCGGTGAGTGGTGATCATGTTAGGGCACAGTACACCCGGTGAGTGGTGATCATGTTAGGGCACAGTACACCCGGTGAGTGGTGATCATGTTAGGGCACAGTACACCCGGTGAGTGGTGATCATGTTAGGGCACAGTACACCCGGTGAGTGGTGATCATGTTAGGGCACAGTACACCCGGTGAGTGGTGATCATGTTAGGGCACAGTACACCCGGTGAGTGGTGATCATGTTAGGGCACAGTACACCCGGTGAGTGGTGATCATGTTAGGGCACAGTACACCCGGTGAGTGGTGATCATGTTAGGGCACAGTACACCCGGTGAGTGGTGATCATGTTAGGGCACAGTACACCCGGTGAGTGGTGATCATGTTAGGGCACAGTACACCCGGTGAGTGGTGATCATGTTAGGGCACAGTACACCCGGTGAGTGGTGATCATGTTAGGGCACAGTACACCCGGTGAGTGGTGATCATGTTAGGGCACAGTACACCCGGTGAGTGGTGATCATGTTAGGGCACAGTACACCCGGTGAGTGGTGATCATGTTAGGGCACAGTACACCCGGTGAGTGGTGATCATGTTAGGGCACAGTACACCCGGTGAGTGGTGATCATGTTAGGGCACAGTACACCCGGTGAGTGGTGATCATGTTAGGGCACAGTACACCCGGTGAGTGGTGATCATGTTAGGGCACAGTACACCCGGTGAGTGGTGATCATGTTAGGGCACAGTACACCCGGTGAGTGGTGATCATGTTAGGGCACAGTACACCCGGTGAGTGGTGATCATGTTAGGGCACAGTACACCCGGTGAGTGGTGATCATGTTAGGGCACAGTACACCCGGTGAGTGGTGATCATGTTAGGGCACAGTACACCCGGAGAGTGGTGATCATGTTAGGGCACAGTACACCGGTGAGTGGTGATCATGTTAGGGCACAGTACACCCGGAGAGTGGTGATCATGTTAGGGCACAGTACACCCGGTGAGTGGTGATCATGTTAGGGCACAGTACACCCGGTGAGCGGTGATCATGTTAGGGCACAGTACACAGTACACCCGGTGAGTGGTGATCATGTTAGGGCACAGTACACCCGGTGAGTGGTGATCATGTTAGGGCACAGTACACCCGGTGAGTGGTGATCATGTTAGGGCACAGTACACCCGGTGAGTGGTGATCATGTTAGGGCACAGTACACCCGGTGAGTGGTGATCATGTTAGGGCACAGTACACCCGGTGAGTGGTGATCATGTTAGGGCACAGTACACCCGGTGAGTGGTGATCATGTTAGGGCACAGTACACCCGGTGAGTGGTGATCATGTTAGGGCACAGTACACCCGGTGAGTGGTGATCATGTTAGGGCACAGTACACCCGGTGAGTGGTGATCATGTTAGGGCACAGTACACCCGGTGAGTGGTGATCATGTTAGGGCACAGTACACCCGGTGAGTGGTGATCATGTTAGGGCACAGTACACCCGGTGAGTGGTGATCATGTTAGGGCACAGTACACCCGGTGAGTGGTGATCATGTTAGGGCACAGTACACCCGGTGAGTGGTGATCATGTTAGGGCACAGTACACCCGGTGAGTGGTGATCATGTTAGGGCACAGTACACCCGGTGAGTGGTGATCATGTTAGGGCACAGTACACCCGGTGAGTGGTGATCATGTTAGGGCACAGTACACCCGGTGAGTGGTGATCATGTTAGGGCACAGTACACCCGGTGAGTGGTGATCATGTTAGGGCACAGTACACCCGGTGAGTGGTGATCATGTTAGGGCACAGTACACCCGGTGAGTGGTGATCATGTTAGGGCACAGTACACCCGGTGAGTGGTGATCATGTTAGGGCACAGTACACCCGGTGAGTGGTGATCATGTTAGGGCACAGTACACCCGGTGAGTGGTGATCATGTTAGGGCACAGTACACCCGGTGAGTGGTGATCATGTTAGGGCACAGTACACCCGGTGAGTGGTGATCATGTTAGGGCACAGTACACCCGGTGAGTGGTGATCATGTTAGGGCACAGTACACCCGGTGAGTGGTGATCATGTTAGGGCACAGTACACCCGGTGAGTGGTGATCATGTTAGGGCACAGTACACCCGGTGAGTGGTGATCATGTTAGGGCACAGTACACCCGGTGAGTGGTGATCATGTTAGGGCACAGTACACCCGGTGAGTGGTGATCATGTTAGGGCACAGTGCACCCGGTGAGTGGTGATCATGTTAGGGCACAGTGCACCCGGTGAGTGGTGATCATGTTAGGGCACAGTGCACCCGGTGAGTGGTGATCATGTTAGGGCACAGTGCACCCGGTGAGTGGTGATCATGTTAGGGCACAGTACACCCGGTGAGTGGTGATCATGTTAGGGCACAGTACACCCGGTGAGTGGTGATCATGTTAGGGCACAGTATACCCGGTGAGTGGTGATCATGTTAGGGCACAGTATACCCGGTGAGTGGTGATCATGTTAGGGCACAGTATACCCGGTGAGTGGTGATCATGTTAGGGCACAGTATACCCGGTGAGTGGTGATCATGTTAGTTCACAGTACACCCGGTGAGTGGTGATCATGTTAGGGCACAGTACACCCGGTGAGTGGTGATCATGTTAGGGCACAGTACACCCGGTGAGTGGTGATCATGTTAGGGCACAGTACACCAGGTGAGTGGTGATCATGTTAGGGCACAGTACACCAGGTGAGTGGTGATCATGTTAGGGCACAGTACACCCGGTGAGTGGTGATCATGTTGCAGAACATGAACAGAATCGAGCCGCGAGGGAAAATATTAAACCTAAATTTCGAAAATGTTAAGATGACACTCACTAACGAGTGAGAATGACAGATAGAGTATTTTTTTCAAAATTACATTCGGGAAGCCTATTAATTTTAATTGTGCTAATTTAAACATTAATGGGCTCAGCTGTAGAATCAAACAGTTACAACTAACATCCCTGTTTAAATATCATAAATTGGATGTGCTTTTATTGCAAGAACACAATGTGCAAGATGTTAAGAAACTTAATGTGCTGCTTCATTATTTTGAAATCCTAATAAATCCTACGAACCTGTTGAAAGGTGGTACGATGATATTGATTGGTAAACAAGCCAACATAAAGGTTCTTAATACCGGAATGGATGATAATGATAATGTTTTAAATGTGAGGATTTCCTTTCTTGACACCATAATTCCTCTGCGTAATGTGTATGCTCCCTCTGGCACCCGCAGGAAGAGAGGGAGGTAGTGTTCTCTAAAGAGTTATTGTATTTTTAGATATGATACACGTAATGTTATTTATGGTGGCGACTTTAATTGTGTCACTTCTGTGAAAGATTGTAGTACTCAGTCGAACACATATGTATCTCCTGCTTAAATTACACTTTTGAAATGTATTGGTGTGAAGGATGCGAATAGCATTAATGGGGTTGTCTCTGAGTACACGTATGTTTGCCAGAATTCTAGTTCTCGTCTTGATAGAATAAATATGCACACATTACATAATAAAATTAGCTCTTGTAGTACTGTTCTGGTCAGCTGTTCAAATCATTGTTAGTTGTGGTGAAGATTGTCATTAACGATCAGGTTAAAGTGGGGACAGGGTCATGGAAGCTCATTTGCAGTCTGTTGCAAAGTAGAGATGCAAGTCATAATTTTCAAGTGTTGTGGGAACACCTGGTTGGGCAAAAACACAAGTTCAATGTCTTTTGGAGAGGCGGGACATGCGTTTGGAGAGGCGGGACATGCGTTTGGAGTGGCGGGACATGCGTTTGGAGAGGCGGGACATGCGTTTGGAGTGGCGGGACATGCGTTTGGAGTGGCGGGACATGCGTTTGGAGTGGCGGGACATGCGTTTGGAGTGGCGGGACATGCGTTTGGAGTGGCGGGACATGCGTTTGGAGTGGCGGGACATGCGTTTGGAGTGGCGGGACATGCGTTTGGAGAGGCGGGACATGCGTTTGGAGAGGCGGGACATGCGTTTGGAGAGGCGGGACATGCGTTTGGAGAGGCGGGACATGCGTTTGGAGAGGCGGGACATGCGTTTGGAGTGGCGGGACATGCGTTTGGAGTGGCGGGACATGCGTTTGGAGTGGCGGGACATGCGTTTGGAGTGGCGGGACATGCGTTTGGAGTGGCGGGACATGTGTAAAATTTCATGTAAAAGTTTTTGTGAAAGTGAAATTTTGAAAATTTTCAACCGCCAAAAAAAAAAGGCAGCTGAAAAAATGGCCTTTTAACCTTTGTACAACACAGATTAAAACAACTTTATGCAAAGGTTAATATGGGATTAGACAAGTCATAATGCGGGATGAAATATCTGAAGGAGTCAATGTTCGCCTCCAGATTAATGATAGGATATATGATGAAAAACTCTCTCCATATTTGTTAAGTAAAGTCAAGAATAACAAGGGCTTGCGACTAGTATCAAAGCTGGCGATGGGACGGACATGACAAACACGGATGGGATTGTATGTTATGTTAGAGGTGAATTAGAGAAAGTGTACACACAAATGGACGTAGACCAAGGTATGCGGGAGTATTTCCTTGGAAAATGTTCATGGGCTTTATCCCAGGATTACATGTCATTGTTGGAAGATGTAGATAAGCAGGTGGTGTGGAGTGTTTAAAGGAGAATAAATCACCTGGCTGTGATGGGTTCCCGTTAGAATTGTTTTTCTGTCTATGGGATGTCATTGCTATAGTCTTTGTACAAGTGGTGCAGTATAGCTTACAGCATAGGAAGCTTACCATATCACAATCTCATGGGATTATTAAGATTTTACAAAAAAAAAAAAACACAGGAGATTTGAACAAATTCACAAGGGCTTCGAACCTACATCCGAAATCATCCCAGACGCTGCCTCTATCGACTGAGCTACGACATGGTACAAAAAAAGTTGAAACCGAAGTTCAGTAGAACTAACTGGATCCTGCAGCCTCTCCGAGACACAAACCAGAGTTGTGTAAAACCCTGGTTTGTGTCTTGGAGAGGCTGCAGGATCCAGTAAGTTCAGTAGAACTTCGGTTTCAACTCTTTTGACCATGTCGTAGTTCAGTGGATAAAGGCAGCGTCTGGGATGATTTCGGACGTAGGTTCGAATCCTCGTTATGGCCCTTGTGGATTTGTTCATTCGATGCATCACGCTATTGTAATTTGTGTGTGTCAGGTGATTTGCTTATTCTAACGAACTGAAGGCCACTTTCCTTGCTCAACCTGGATTACAAAATAATCTCGAAATTGTTGGTGAATAGACTTAAGATTGTAATGATAAAAATTATATCGTAGGAACAGTTATGTGGTGTGCCTGGAAGATCAATAATCAATTGTAATAATGTAATTAGGGATGTTGTGTATTATGTGTCTGAAAATAATGTTCCTTCCTCCTTGATAAACCTTGACTGGTCGAAGGCTTTTGACCGTGTTGATGTTCAGTTTTTAATGGAAATATTGGATAGGGTAGGAGTGGCTCAAGAATTTATTGATTGGATCCGTATGCTTTATTAACAGTGTCGGAGCAGCGAGTGTATCATCGGTGTCTTGATTAAACTATTTTCAATTGAACCGTCGGAAGGTCAGTGATGTCCCCTTTCAATGTGGTAGAAATTGATATGGGTGTTTCATTAGCAGTGACAAAGAGAATACTTAAACAAATATCTAATGAAAATCTCACCGACCTAACAAATTCACAAAGACCTGAAAGTTGTAGCATTAAATATTATGATAGATATCGTGAGGAGACATTCACATATGGGACTAATAGAACAAGAACTCGGCAATGTGATGTTATAGTGGCCAGAATACGCCTGGGATATAGACGTATCTGGCAGCTTTCTCAAAACCCAAATGTCGAGTACACAATGTGTCAACTTTGTGAAAGAGAAAACATGCACTCTCTTGAACATTATATTGTAGAATGTCCCATATTGACTGACTTTCGCCCTCCTGGGCTGAGGTATGCTGAACTGTGTAATTAATATGCGAGGACTGGAACACTTGATATATTGGACTTGTACCCAAGATTAACCATGTAATGTATCAATTATACAATGTATGTATGTGATGTAACTATACAACCTGAGGTTGTAAAAGCACCTTAATCACCTTCAGTGATTAAGTGCTTAATTGCACACTAGTTTCTCTATCAGCTATCTCACCCTGTCAGTGTAAAAGAGACAAATATATGTGAATGCATGTGTGTGTGTGTATATATGTATGTATATATGTACATGTATGCATATGTGTGTGGCTGTATGTATATGTAAGTGTATAAAGTATATATGGAAGCTGATCAGAATTACATTTCACCTTTGTATATGCACATTAATGACACTATGTAAAAGACACATCGAACACTTTATGTAGGGCATACTTAAATCTGTGTATCTATGTATTTACGTATGTAGGTTAGCTTAGCATTTTAAAACCACCGACTCACCTTCTGTGGTTGATTGTTCAATAAACCCTTGAACTATATGTTTAACACTTCTCTAACCCAGTCCATGGATGACAGAAGAAAATGTATATATTCTGGTTAGCATTGTAAATGTGTGGCCACGTCTGTGGTAGAAAAAAAAATGTTTATGTATGTTACACTTCAAGAGCCACTGTACTTGGCTATAATACCACTATTATAGAAGACAGGAGACTCAGTGGTGAATGTTCAGGATGAGTTAGACCACTTTGAAAGAGAAACAGGTGCTGTCATTAACAAGAACAAAACGTGTATAATGGGACTTGGCAATTGGTGTAATAAAGTTACCTGGACAGGTGCATGGTTCAAGGTAGTAGAGTCTATTAAAGCTCTCGAGATTTGCTGGTGTAAAATATATGGAACAACATTGCTTACAAATTGGCAGGTACTATGTAGAAATATAATTAGTAGCTACGAATATGTAGTCAAATTGGAAATTAACCTTATTTCAGAAGGCTGTAATAATTAGTTGCAAAATTTTGTCTGAAGTGTGTTATTTGTCTCACAGTTTTCCAATTGATCAGAAAACTGTTATGGAGATTGACAAAAAAAATGTATATGTATGGTACGGTAGATACCAACCAAATAAACAGCCTATGTAAAGTTAAGAAAGACGGTGGAAGTCTTTGGCTATAGAAGGGATGACGCTGTACTAGTAAGTTTGGGGTCTTGAGCCCATTTACTGGTACAGCGACAAGGGGTTCCAAGTATATTTTTTCAGATATTTACTTAGTGCTGTGCCCCACCCATTTGAGCCCTAAAACTTTTCAGTTTCACTTACTGCTGTTTCACACCCATATAAGATCAAAATTATTTCAGTGTTCACATAATCATTGAAGTTTGTTAAGAAAAATTCGTGGCCAAGTCCACTCCCGTCTTACTGAAAATAAACTCTACGGCTATAAACATATTTTAAAGTAAACTATTACACTATTGTATAAGTAAGTAAAACAGTTCCATTACCCGTCCACATCAGACGTCACTAATCTTACCTCACAGTCCCCCCCCCCCCCCGCTCTACCCTCCTACCCCGCCAGGCGCCCCCAATCTTACCTCACAGTCCTTCCCCCCTCCCCCAACCCGCTTTACACTCCTACCCCGCCAGGCGCCTCCAATCTTACCTCACCCAAAAGGTGTCTAATCTAATTACCCGTACTACCCTTATTCCTCCCTCGTCAGGTGCCCCAAGTCTATCCCAACAGGTGTCTAATCTAATCACCTGCCCGCCCCTTCACCGTCCCCCCCCCCCACCCAACCTATTCCGACCTAACCTCACACCACCATCCCTACCTCCATCATTCGTTCTTTCGTTCGTTCTTTCATTAACATTTTCCTTACTCGATATATCAATCTACATTTTCAGACATCAAAATATATCAAAGATTCAACACACCTCTGTTCCTTAAACAATGCTTACACAGGTGCTGACCAGTCGAGACGTCCTTATCATTATGCCCCCCCAGGCCTCTCCAACACCTGCCTCATTATGCCCCCAGGCCTCTCCAACAGCTGCCTCATTATGCCCCCAGGCCTCTCCAACAGCTGCCTCATTATGCCCCCAGGCCTCTCCAACAGCTGCCTCATTATGCCCCAGGCCTCTCCAACACCTGCCTCACTATGCCCCCAGGCCTCTCCAACAGCTGCCTCATTATGCCCCCAGGCCTCTCCAACACCTGCCTCACTATGCCCCCAGGCCTCTCCAACACCTGCCTCATTATACCCCCAGGCCTCTCCAACAGCTGCCTCATTATGCCCCCAGGCCTCTCCAACACCTGCCTCACTATGCCCCCAGGCCTCTCCAACACCTGCCTCATTATGCCCCCAGGCCTCTCCAACACCTGCCTCATTATGCCCCCAGGCCTCTCCAACAGCTGCCTCATTATGCCCCCAGGCCTCTCCAACACCTGCCTCACTATGCCCCCAGGCCTCTCCAACACCTGCCTCATTATACCCCCAGGCCTCTCCAACACCTGCCTCACTATGCCCCCAGGCCTCTCCAACACCTGCCTCATTATGCCCCCAGGCCTCTCCAACAGCTGCCTCATTATGCCCCCAGGCCTCTCCAACAGCTGCCTCATTATGCCCCCCCCCAGGCCTCTCCAACACCTGCCTCATTATGCCCCCCCCCCAGGCCTCTCCAACACCTGCCTCATTATGCCCCCAGGCCTCTCCACCAGCTGCCTCATTATGCCCCCAGGCCTCTCCAACAGCTGCCTCATTATGCCCCCAGGCCTCTCCAACAGCTGCCTCAGGCCTCTCCAACACCTGCCCCCAGGCCTCTCCAACACCTGCCTTATGCCCCCAGGCCTCTCCAACAGCTGCCTCATTATGCCCCCAGGCCTCTCCAACAGCTGCCTCATTATGCCCCCAGGCCTCTCCAACAGCTGCCTCATTATGCCCCCAGGCCTCTCCAACACCTGCCTCACTATGCCCCCAGGCCTCTCCAACACCTGCCTCATTATGCCCCCAGGCCTCTCCAACAGCTGCCTCATTATGCCCCCAGGCCTCTCCAACAGCTGCCTCATTATGCCCCCCAGGCCTCTCCAACACCTGCCTCATTATGCCCCCAGGCCTCTCCAACACCTGCCTCATTATGCCCCCAGGCCTCTCCAACACCTGCCTCATTATGCCCCCAGGCCTCTCCAACACC